GAGCACAAGAGTTTGTGAGTTTGAGCCCCACGTCGGGCTCTGCGCTGACAGTGTGGAGCCTGCTTGGGATTTTCTTTCTCTCCTTCTCTCTCTGCCCCTCCCCTCTCTCGCTCTTTCTCAAAAATAAATAAATAAACTTAAAGGAAAAAATAAGGTTGTACTTAAATGGGTAAAGAATAATACCGGCTTCTAGTGAGTAGACAGGAACGCTGTTAAAACATCCTACAACGCACGCAACAACAAAGAGTTTTCCAGAGTGGCAGTGGAATGGAGAGATAAGAATGTTTCATAGGAAAAATGATTTGTTGACTTGGTGAATCATCGCAGGTATAAAAGACAAAGAAGGTGGGTAAAAATTAAATGTCATTCTAAGCCTGAGTAACCGGGAAGAGTGATGGTAGAAAACTAATCTGGACAGGAAAAAGCATGTTAGTTTGAAGTAGAGTTATGGCCTCAAAACATACTGAGTATGTATTGTCACATGTTCTACAAATGCATTGAGCAAAAGTGATCTTAATATGCACAGTAAAAAATTTGAATTGACTATAGCCATATCCTCATCCCCAGTTGAGATTTAAAGCACGCTCTTTTGCCTGGATTTTTACTGTAGTGGATCTCCATGCTTCCTTTCTTGCTCCCCTGCAGTTTATTCTCACAGAGTAGCTGGAATGTCCATGACTAGAATTTGATGTGGGACTTTGAAAGTGAAGGCAGGAAACTATCACCAATTGGGAGTCCTTTATAAAAGGACTCTAGGTTGGGGAGTAGAGGGTAGTGCTTATAACAGTTGTATCTTTTTTTTTTTTTTTTTACTTTTATTTATTTTTGAGAGAGAGAGAGAGAGACAGAGACAGAGCACAAGTGAGGGAAGGGCAGAGAGAGAGAGAGAGACAAAGATTCCAAAGCAGGCTCCAGGCTCTGAGCTGTCAGCACAGAGCCCGACACAGGGCTCAAACCCACAAACCATGAGATCATGACCTGAGCTGAAGTTGGACACTTACTTAACCGACTGAGCCACCCAGGCGCCCCACATATGTGTCTTTTTAAAGAATGATTCAAAATCACTTTCTTTCACAATTTTTTTCTAAATTCTGTGAGATTCTTTGTGTATACATGCATACACAGCACATATAAAGACCATACATGTGAATCTTTTTCTTTTCATTCCATTTACTTGCACTTCAGTAGATCTACTTTGTAGCCTTAGCTATTGCCCATCATGATGACTCTTTGTCATTATATTTTCATAGCCCCTGAAGGAAGGATGATATTAAGTGTATTTACTTTTGCATATTCAGTATTATAGAATCTTGGAGATGAAGGAGGTGTATTTCATCCAGTCTAATGAGTCACCCAGTGTTTGATCCGTCCTCCCTTGTCAGTTTCTAGGGCTGCTATGACAAATTATCCCAGACCTGCTGGCTTAAAACAGGAGAAAGTTACTCTCTCATAGGTCTGGAGGCCAGAATTGCAAAAGTAAGGTGTCAGCAAGGTTACACTCCCTTCAAGGGCTCGAGGGGAGAATCTTTCCTTGCCTTTTCCAGCTTCTAGTGGCTCCAGGCATTCCTTGGCCTGTGGCCGTGTAACTAATTTCTGCCTCCATCTTCACATGACCACCTTCTCTGTGTCTCTTCCTCCGCGTGTCCCTTGTACAGACATTTATTGGCTATGGGGCCCGACCAGATAATTGAGGATGTTGTCATCTTAGAATCCTTGACTTAATTGCAGCCCTTTTTCCAAATCACATTCACAGGATTTGGATATGGACATACTTTTGGGGGGCCACCATGCAGCCTGTTAGGCCCTCCGAGTATATGTCCGTTATTTGTTGCCCAGCTCCTAACTGGCTGCCTCTACCCAAGATCTTTTGGATTTTGACTAACTCTGGGCTGAAGTCAGTTTTCCTGTAACTGTTATCACTGACTTCAGTTCTCCCCGTCTGAAACCATGAGAACAAAAACATCTCTTTTTCTCTCAGAAAGCCCTTCATTTGTTTTCTCGGAGACTTCTCTGCTCCAGACTGAACACCTCTGGTTCCTTTAGCCGTTTGTCTCAGAACCATAGCTCGCATTCTCTTAATTATCTTGGTTGTGCTGCTTCTCTGAAGCTCTCAGAGGTGAGTAGAAAGAATACTGAATTTATCGTTGAAGACCTAATACTCAGGTCATGTCTCTTCCGCTAAGTAGATGATCAAGGCAAATCAGTTTTCTTTTAAATAACAAAAACACTGGACCACTCTACTTCACTGCATGCTTTTTATAGTCAAATGAGATTGTTGCAAAACCTATAAGAAAGTTGCAAATTATTTATCCACATGCTTATATTAAAAAAAAAAACAAACAAACAAAGCCGACATTAACTCCCAGAACTGAACACAGATCTCTCAGTATAGTCTGAACCAGTCTGAACCAGTATTGGCCAATAGCACGTTTCCTAATAATCTGCTTTGTTTCTCTTAATACAACCTGGGATCACAATAGCTTTTTGGTAGTCATGCCATGGCTCTTTGTTCATACTGAAATTACTGTGTACTCAGGAGCTCCAAATCATCTCCACACATAATCTATTTACGCTTTCTAATTCATTGATACATACCTTGTAGAGTCAGTGAATTTTTCGAACAGCTTGGAAATACAGTTGAATTTGCAATGTATTTCATATCGATCATTTTAGTTGCCTTTTCTGTAAGTTTTATAATAGGAAATATAAAGTTCTTCCTCCAGTTATTTAATGTAATACCCCCCCTTTAATGAATCCTATTTTTGACGCTAAGGACATTTTTCTAGTTGTACTTGAATGACCACATTCTTATCTAAACCTTCTACAGTTGCTAATGTGATTCTCTGTCTATATTGAATGAAGATGCCTTTGATTTGTATCTTCCGTCCTGATGGTAATAGGTTTTACCCATTAAAATGGATTTCATTTTTCTAGATTACTTAATAGATCTATAAATCTATGTACTTTTGCAAAGTGAGATGAATGTGTAGTAATTATAAGCTGCTATACTGTTCAACTTGAAGTGACCTCTTAAGAATTTGAAAGCAATATAAGATGTGAACTCTGTCCTCATGTTTGATCTGTCTTACAATGGCACTGTTTGACCTTGGGCTTCAGTTACTCTTCAGATTTGTTTTAATGTTACGTGCACACCTTGTGACTTTCTATAAAGAAGTCCCAATGAAGTGATAAAGTTGATGTTGTGAGATCCATTTTGTAGGGATTTGGAGACCTGGTTTTCAATGATACTTATTTCAGTGTCCTCTTCTAACATTTGAAATAGTTTCTGTATTTATAAATTGAAAGTAGAGATACACGTAGGCTTGGAGAGCTGTGCAGATAGCCTTATAGAATAACAACTACATAGTACAGTGCTTTGGAACTCTAGGAGATTCCTTCCAGAGGGCCCCCATGGTGTTATGTCTTTGCAGTTAGGTAGTTCCTTTGCAAGCTTCCTCATACAAATTTGGATGGTTCCCAGATGCACTGTGAAAGCCTGATGTTGCACTTTTGTTTATCCTGAATTTGCTGTCATTTTTATGTATCTCCATTTAGGGCCACACCACATTCCTAGTTTATTTTTTACTGCTTCAATAAATACAGAGCTGTATGTTCTTAATGGATGTATGAAGCATTTGGTGTTCCCTTACTAGAGAATAAAGACAGTTCATGACCTTGCTCATTCCCCAGTGCCTATAATTTAAATTTTTTTTAATGTTTATTTATTTTTGAGAGAGAGAGAGAGAGACAGAGCATGAGCAGGGGAGGAGGAGAGAGAGAGGGAGACACAGAATCCAAAGCAGGCTCCAGGCTCCAAGCTATCAGCAGAGCCCGATGGCGGGGCTTGAACTCGCGAATCGCGAGATCATGACCTGAGCCAAAGTCAGACGCTTAACTGACTGAGCCACCCAGGAGCCCTGTCAGTGCCTATAATTTTATAGCACAACAAATTTACCTTTTAGAAACTGTATGTAATCAACAACTCTCAAGAATTTAATATAAAGATTTTTTTAATTCTGTTTTGTTTATATTTTCTAGAAAACAATATCCAGCAAACTTTATGGAATGTACCTTTCCTCGGGCAATTGAAATTGAGAATATCCACTAATTGTTACCTTCCATTCATTTCAGTAGGATTATTTTATTTTTGAGAATAATCATATATTGCCAAACTCAGGAAAGTGAAGTTTTTCTTCTTGACCCTAAGTCGTGATTGATCTGGATTTGTGTATTTAGTTCCGAGGGAAAAAAATGTATGCTTAGTTTTGAGAATATAACCTTTTCTTCTTCATTTGCAGGGATAGGAAAAAGGAAATGGGGAAACTTATTCTCTAAAATAACTCATCATCTTGATAAAGATCCACAGATCTCATGCCTTTGTTATTTCAGTAAGTCAGGTTAAAGTCTTAGGAGAGCTCTGTGGCATGAGTATATTGCTTTGGAGAAGTAACACCCAAATAGCCACCCATGTGGGTGTGAATGAATTTTTGGTGAATTTTCACTTCTATTAGTACTGTCGATTTGACTGGCCACCTTTCAAGAAGCAGAAATCTTATATATTGCTTTCCAGTCTGATTTTTTCCCCTTAATCTTCTTTTCCCATATAGTAGAAGCTGAGATGTCAGATCCAATGTATTAGAGGAAAAAACTTGTAGGATCTTAATTTTGGCATGGTAAATTTGTGATATGTAAATATGAAACACAGTGGCCTCAACTCCTTGGGGTTAGTGGGTCACTTTTTTATATATTAGTCCCTTATTGCATGATCTACTCAGTTTTTTGTTTTTTTAAACAAAGCAACCATTGATCTGATTTGACTAATTATGAAGATAATAAGGTAATAGATTGCAACACCTATAAGGAATTTAGTTCAAGTCTTCAGATACTTATGCCTTATTCAAGGAACTTCTACCTTTGTCAATAACTTGGAGGTTGTTTTACTCAAACTTTGGAAAAGATCTGATCCTGCTTAATTTTTTTTTTTTTTTTTTTTTTTTTAGGTTTCCATTATATCTAAAAGGAGGGGAGAAGTTACAATTTGATTATGGTGTCTATCTTCTGAACAAAAATGTAGCACAGGTAAGTAAGTAACTTCTGTCCTTCTCTACTTCTCATATACAACCTACTTCTTGGATTGCTAACCTTCTTTCTTTATAAATAAGTACTACAGTTCACTGTTTTATTTAAGCAGTTACAGTGATAACGCAAAATTCTTTTTTGGCCACAGTTTTATTTTATGTCATTCTAAATACTACTGAGAAGCAGTGGGTACAAATTGAAATCCTCCTACTAAACTCAGAAGCCCTTTACTGAGTTGTTACCTGCTGGTACACTATACTTGAATGTGTGGGTTTATATATCTTTTTGCCTCTGTACCTTTGCACATAGCTTTCTTCTCTTAGATCACTTTCTTCTCTTAGACCACTTTTAGGGACTCATTTTGCATCGGGAGTTGTTTATGGAGTTAAGTTTTAGTGCCTTTGGCCAGTCTTCAATGGTCTCCTCACCTTACTATGCAGGAACCAAAAAGAAAGACCAACCATGTGGTCCTTCCAACCCATCTGGGGCTTTTGGGGCTCTCTTAACATCAGGCCAGTTAGTACATCATTTAAATAATGTCTTTCCATATGCTGTAGAAAGACTAACAGATGCTTCAGTCTGCATTTTTCTGAAAGAAATACACAACATTTCTTTGGCATACTTGACTAAACTTCACGAGGTAGACGTTCCATAAATTTTCCAGTTGTAAAGGAAGATCACCTTCAGTGCTTTGTTTTTATTTGGACATCCTTCCAATTAGAATATCATATGGATCAATATCCACGGTTTGGCTGTCACTTAAAGACATTATCAGCTGTATCCTCAGACTTTTTTTTTTTAAGGAAGCAACAAGGTTTGTGATGGATTTGTTTTAAAAGGTTGCCTTTTATCCATATGAATCTAAAGACTCAATGAACAGCTCCCTTATTCATTCCTGACAGATCTAGAATCATTCCTCCATATGGTGTCATCTTTGCCTTTCTTCCCCTCATTCAGTATCAGTTTAGTGTTGTTTTTTTTTTAATTTTTTATTTAGATTCCTACCCTTTTGATAATGGATCAAATTTCTAGTTTGCAGTCCTCAGTTAATCATTTTCTTCATAAGCTCATACTCATTGCCCTCTCAGCCATACCGCTTTATTATTATTGCTGTTTTGGCCCATTCTTTACTCCAGGTAGGCAGCCTTGCTCGCAGTCTCTGGCCTGTGACTCATCTTTCCATGTGCTATTCTTCCCACACCTGATGTGTTCCCTCTCTCCATTTTTGGATACTAACGTATCTTAGTCTAAGACATGGGACTTCAGGAGTGCCTGGCTGGCTCAGTTGGTGGAGCATGGGACTCTTGATCTCGGGTCATGAGTTCAAGTCCCACATTGGACATGAACCCTACTTAAAAAAAAAAAAAAAAATAGCACTTTAATTCCAAGGCTGTTTTATGCTACTGATTATAGTCATTATACTATGAAAAAAGCAATGCTTAGACAGAACTGGTCAGAAGTGGCCTAAGAGTGCATTAAGGGAGAAGAGGTCTAAGTAAATTAGAGGGTACCTCCAGGTGAAGTCAGCCATGTGGAAAGGGGCACATGGATACTAGAGTCCAGAGTCTGGGGGTCAGAATGCCAGGAAGGTTGGTAGAACTAAGTTTTGGTCTGAATTCAGAGGTCACTCTCTCCTTGACGTGTTTTCTGTTTCTTGCTCTAACTACCTACACCCTAAGGTCCAATGTCTGTTGGAAGATTCCAGGTGAAACGTACTCCTGGATTTCCTCATAAATCTCAGCTGCAGACACACATACACACACGCGCGCACACACACACACACACGTGCACACGTACATACCCATGCAAGCATACGCACATTTAATTACTTCTCTGGGCCCAATAGGAATGCCTATAGATGGTATAAAGAGGTGTTAGGAATAGCCCAATTTACTTTGACAAAGTTGGAGGCTGACTGTATACAGTGGAAAATTTGGGAAAGTCAGCCCTTTATCTCAGATTCTCATCCCTAGTCCTGTTCAGTCCTCACTTTGGAGCACTTCTCAGGAAGCCTCTGATTTTACTCTTAAGTGAACTGAGTCCACAAGCATGCTGAGCTAGCTTTATTCATCTGTTTAAAATATGGGTTACTTCCAGTTATTTTGTATCCTCTGCAATTTAATAGTCTTGTTGAAAATTTGAGAGATTACACTATGTGTGCATTTAAGATTGACACGTTAATTACTTTAAATCCAGAGAGAGAAGGCATCTTGCTCTCTGATGTTTTTTCTTCACTGTTGTGGCAGTTTTAAAAGGAGACGACAGTACGCTTTTTGTAAACAGATTTTCTTAGGTTTCAGAGTGCATTCAGGAAGCCTCTTCTGACAATTTAGAAAGAAACTTTTAGCAAATTTGTGACCTTTAACCTTTTTTTGGTTCAACTCTATGTGTTTCATCTTTAACTGTTTCTCTGAGAATGTTTCATTTTGTCTTTGGCTTTAATGCCATCATTTTGTTACGTTTCAATTTGTAACAAATCAAAGGGCCATTAATTAGTTTGGCCCCTAACCATGTATTCTATCAGTAAAATATTGCCACCTTTTTAAAGATTTCTTTTTCTTTACATACATTCTAATACATGTTGTCAAAGGAGAGTTTGTCTGCTCAGCCAGCCTCATTTATACCCCATCTCTAGAGATGTGAACAAATCATACTATTAAAATGGCCCCACCTCAGTAATTTATAAGCCACGTTAGTGGAGGTGGATGAAAGCATTGGCATATGTTAAAGTGCCAGAGAAAAAGGAGTGAAGTCATTTAATACTGCATCCATAACTTGGTTGAGGATTTGAATAGTCAATAGGACCTTTCATCACAACCAGAAGTAGTAGTAAAATCACTTTTTTGGTAGAGGAAATGACAGAATTTAGTAATATTTGTTACTTCAGTATTTGGGATCAGTCCAGCCCGTTTTGAAAGCACAAGCTTAGAAAGACAGGCCTTCAAGTAGAAATCCTCAAGTGTTGTTTGAATTGCTGAGAGGATTGGTATGGCCTGTTTGCCCTCTTCCTGTCATTGCGGTCTAAAGGTATGTGTGTGTGTTCTGTGCTGGGCTTTGAAAGTGAATAAAGCAAAATGTCTTGGTTTTAGTACCATTTAGTAATATTTTTCACGTGTCAGCCCCTTTGTCTGGAAATAGCTTCCTTTGTTGGTTAACGTGTAACCCTGTAGGAACAGGCCTGGCAAAATTCAAGCACAGTATAATCATCATTAGTTAAAAAAAAAAAAAAAAACAGGTTCTGGGGCCCCTGGGTGGCTCAGTCAGTTGAGCGTCCAAATCTTCATATCAGCTCAGGTCATGATCCCAGAGTCGTGGGATCAAGCCCTTTGTTGGGCCCCTTGCTGAGTATGGAGCCTGCATAAGATTCTCTCTGTCCCCCTCTGCCCCTCTCCCCTGTTGCGTGTGCTTTGTCTCTCCCTCTCTCTCTCTTTCTCTCTCTCTTTGTCTCTAAAAATAATAAAATAAAATAAAATAAAATAAAATAAAATAAAATAAAATAAAATAAAA